CACACCCACACCCTCAGACCCACAACCTCACACCCACACCCACACCCCTTTCTGGTCTTTGCAGTTTATTCAAACCACTGCCACCACCAGGTCCACCAGCAACAATGGAACTTTGGGTTTCACCATACTTCAATTTAATCAGTCGATGATTATCCCGGTCAGTTATATTGAGAGATCGGTTTCTATCAAGGTAAATTAGATATGGATGATTTAGTTTGGATATAATTACTTCTCCAACAGTCTCATTTATCAGTAGTTTTATTACTTCACCTTTCTCTCTGTCAGATATATAGAGAGATTCTTCATCATCTAGTGCTATACCGTACGCAGAAATACTACGTATAATTGTATCACCAGTCGAAGCACCACGAAACCAGCGTTGAACGCGACTATTTTCGGCATCACTAATGTAATGTGTTCCGTTTTTACTGAAAACAAAACCACGGGGACCATGCAATTGATCGGGTGCGTCTCCTCTACCGCTTCCACCGGCAACCACGACTCCACTTAAATCACCAACATTCCATTTAATAATACGATTATTGACATTATCCGAGATATAAATTGTTTGATTTTCGTCCACGACAATGGCAGCAGGATGATTCAATTGGTTAAGATTCGATCCTGCTCCGTTACCACCAGCCACAACTTGACCAACTCGTTCCCATGTAGCTGTTGCACAAATACCATCACCAGGTTTTGACGGCAAAGATGTGGCTAAATGAGTTGACGAAAAAGATACAAAATTGATATGTTCGACTAATGAAGTTGTTCAATATTAAATGATTTTGTTTTTGAGTCAAAATTTCATATCTATCTTAAAACACTTTTGAAGTATTGCCTATTTGAGATTTTATCATTATCTCATATCGACTTGCGATTAGAAATAGAAAACATCGTTTCTGAATGAGACAATATCAAAAATCTTACTAGAATGAGTAGTTGTTGCTGAAGTACTCATTGTAGTTATAAATGTCATTATTGTTGTTAATGGCTCTGTAGTAGTCATTGAAATTATCGCATCTGTTATCGATGCTGTTAATATTGTTGTTGCTGTCTCATCTGTTATTGACACTGTTGTTGCTATTGGTGATGTAATCGATAGGCTGTTTGTAGTTGCCGCTAATGTTCCGGTGGGTACTGCTCTTATTGTTGAAGTTGTGGTTAATACGGATATCGACAGTGATGCCGTTGGTGTTTTTGTGCTATTACTTGTTACCATCGTTGTAGTTGAGTTGACAGGTATGACAATTGTTGGTTTAGCAGTGATGAATGCCGTGATTGATGTTACTGTTTGCAGTCTTTATTCAAGAATCATGTGTTTCTACTGATAAAACAAAATCGAACAAATAATATAATCAGATGGTTGAGAAATTCGAACGTCTACCATTGTTGTTGTACTATAGTTCGCTATGGTATGAGTTACAACAGATGTTGTTACTGGATTTCGTTTAACAGTGAATATAACAGCACATGCAATTACGGTTGATAAAATTAACAAAGTTATGATAGCGACCAAAATAGAACGGACAGTATTGTGTCTGATAAATCTAAGAATTCTTGAAGGACCACTTGTTTTAACATGTGCCGTCGATTTTTTTCAGGCTGAAAAGACTTCTGTTGAATATTTCGCATGCGAATTGGTTTCTCGCTGCGATTGTGATGTGATGTCTTCTTGTGAACTTGTCTTGAATGATGATGAGTAGACTTTTGTCCTATGTTTTTTCAAAAACAGAAATACACACTCTTAAAGTAGATTGCAAACCAAAAAAAAGTCAAACATAATTTAAAAGGTTGTGAAGAAACAAGTAATTTTCTCATCAGACATCGATTAATATTTCTAAACGCAAGGAAACATTTTATGATATCTCACTGAAATGATTCACGACAAATATGAGATTTTATTGTACAAATGTATTCTTCATTTATATCAAAGAGTCACCTCCTGAGTAATGTTTCATTATCTGTTCATTTGAACTATCCGTAACGACCATAATGCCTTATTAGTTAAACTTTTATTTTGATTAATAATAAATGCGGAAACCTCGGATTTAAATCCGAGCGTTATGTGTACTTCAGAAAGTGAAGAAGCGATTCCTTAATCCAAAAAAAAAATTATTCAGAATTTTCAAAATCTGAGTTCAGATTCAGATTCCTCGACCTCAATTTGCTTTCGCCAACCTTTATAAAATATCGTTATTTTCTCAAAAAATCCTTTCCTTGGCCCAAAGTTTGAGCTCAAATTCTTAATGCTTCATATACCATTTTGTAGCTCGTGAAATTCTCTATCGAATGGTATATAATAGTTGGGGTTTTATTTTGACTATGATAGGAAAAGTCTTTTATGAAAGTGGGTATAGGTCGATTTTCTCCTAAGAGACCATAGGGAAAAATCAGTATTTTTGCAATAACTCAAGAAGAGCTCATCCAATCAGGCTCATCTTCGAACTCGACCGAGACATTGATAAGACTAAACTGTGTAGAAAATTTCATCATGATCTGACTCTCCTTTCGAAAGTTATCGTGTAAACGGACGGACGGTCGGACACACTGACCGATTCTAGTAGTGTACTCACTTTTTGAGTACACTAAAAATGAATCTGCATGTGTTTTACTTTTACCTTTCATCTCATGGAAATTTTATCAACGATGACTATAACGTGTTGTGTTAATTTCTAGTCTTCAATGTTATCAACTCTTTTTCATATTCTGCAATCATATGTAAATGGTCATTTTTTACTTATATTTGACAAAGATAATGATAAGAATCATTTGCCTAATCACATATTGATTTTTTACTCTGACATAGTTCTATAATATCAAATATAATGCTTAAAATAATATTTGCTAGCATTAGATAACTATGCTTATGGATATTGTGCTTTAATAAAAAGACGAATATCTCAAGTACAGAATAGTGGAATCGGGTAAAAGATTTGGCTACCTGGATATACTATGACGTTAGCCTGAAAACCTTCCATGATCATATATTGCGTAGTTCTCCATCAACAAGGACGATAAGAAATAAATATCACACGTTCTCTCTTCCTTTGTATAGGAGACTATGAGAATTATTGATAATAATAACTACAACAAAAGCCATAGCATTGTACTCATACTTACCTCATTTATTCGACTTTTATGCAGTCGAAGATATTCTGTATTAATCAGTTCATTTTGTTATTTCTTTAATGAAAACAATTCAACTATGGCTTATTTTTATTTAGGTGTGATAAGTTTTGAAATAAAAAGAACTATTTTAAAGTTTGAATCATAATAAAGATCATTTAACTCGTTCTTACTTCAAAAGAATACTTGAATATGCACTTTTTGATCGAATTGATTCTTGTTTCATCCAACAAAAAATAATAAATTTCAAAAGACAATATTTTATATTTGTATTAGATTGATATCCATGAAAACTCAAATGTGGGGAGTATATGAGACGTTTAATCGTCTCTCTATTCTACCCGCATCCAAAGTTTTTCTGGTGAAAGTTATTAAAAGTGAAAACTTGAAACGAAAAAACTTCCTTCGGTTCACCTTCCACCTGTGTGGGAAACATCTGGTGTCGTGATTAGCTGAAATACATGTTGTTGTTTATTCTGTTTCTGAAGTTCTTCTGCATGAGCCAAAGTACAACGTTGCTCACATTTTTCACAATAGTTTAACGAAGAACAATGAATACATCGGAAGAGAATGCCTTCAATATCGTTATGACAGCCATTACATCTGAAATGTTTTTTGTCATTAATCCATAGATTAAATCTATCAAAATATCTACCTAATGCCTTTATGAACGATTCTGTGCTTATTTTCTGGACGTGGTAAAGAATTTTTAATTTTGTCTGGTGCGGTATCGATGCTTGGTATGTAAGGTTTAGTATCGTCCCATGTGAAACTTTTGCCACATCCTGACTGTTGATCACCTCCGTGATAATTACGCCCACATACCATACTACTGCATCCTCCCATATGTTGCACAACTCGTTTACAATGCGGACAAAGACGACAATTTTGAGCTTTAAATGCTTCATCAGCCATTAGTTCTTCGTAACGACGACGCAATTCTTCGTTTCGCTTAACATTTGATCCTAATTGTCTTTCATATTCTTCTAATTGGGCACGATAGGTAACATCTTCTTGCGCCCGAGCTCTCCAATAATTGCCACGTTCTTCAAAATACAATAATATAAAACTTAGTTCACTGAGAATCCTTTCTCAATTGTTTTTACTCACCTGTATTACACCAAACAAACCATTGTTGTGTTATTTGAGCTACTTGTTGACAGTTTGTTCGATAATGATATTGTTGATTACAAATCGAACAAAATTCATTTCTGCAAGCGTTACATACGACCCGAAAACGCTGATTTGGATTTCGTGCTTCCACAACCCATTTACATCCTCGATTGGGACATTTAATGATGCCGCGAGCATGATTTATAAAATTATTGAATGTCTTCTCTGTTTGATACTCATGAAATTTTCTCTTCTGGCTCCGAGATACTCGCAATTGATTGATTTCTCCGTCATGTAGCTGATAATCACAGATACCACATGTAAGCAGTTCATTGTTATTCATCTTTGATGTGCACGATTGTTCAAAGCAATTGTAACATAATTTATGACTCTCTTTGCAACCAAAAACGAAAATATCTTCATATGGAAATGTTTCCATGCAAGCAGCACAATCAAGAGTAGGCACTTTGTATGGAAATTCGTCTTCTACAACGAAAAAGACAAATGAGTACTAAAAATCATGACCAACAATGATATGTGCGTCCAATCAACCGTAAGGACAAAAAAAATGCGCTGTTTTGGACCTATTGAAATTTACTTTCGCTTCCTGATTAATTTTTAGAAAATTCATACAGACTTCAGGTACAAATTTGTTAGAATTTTCTCAACTAAACATTTAAAACATAAAGAAAACGTCTAATACTGAAAACTGAATCGATTCACGCTTGACATTATTAGAGGACATACCAACTAGGGCTAATGCATCAACAATTTCATGAGGGTCGATTGTTCGCCGTTTCTGTCTTTGTAGTTCGATGTAATAACGAACTTGTACTGGTGTAAAAGGATATTTCAGCTTCGATGCGATGAAATCTATGAATGCTTGTCGCCGTTCGTGTACTGGAATATTACGACAATAGGCTGTGTGTTCATCTAATTGATAAATTTCGTATAAGCAATGGCAATACTCGCATGGTATCATATCATTTGGATTGCAAAATTTCACATGTTGTTCATATGTTTCCATCGTTTGAAATTCGATATAAAACAGACATCGAGGACATTGAGGACGTTGTTTTGTAATAACAAGTGCTAACAAACTTGTAAGCATATCCGGTTTCAACGGTAAACATGAAACATCATATTTTGACAACTGATAATTACAAACACCAGCACAACAACGTGGTTCGGTTTTTTCTCTGATATGTTCTTCCATAGACTTCTGCACACATGGAGTACATAGCATGTGATGGAATTTACACGGCATGACATGACTCAAAGTTTGTTTCAAATCGAATGGTGATGTACTAAAAGTAATATTTTATGAACCAAATGTATTTAATATTAGTTGTAAAGTGTGGGTGTAAAGTTAATGAATATGAATGATTAATATTTCTAACAAATGTTCTTCGACATGTCTTACTTTCAATTATCTCATTTTTCTCTTGATAAGTAGAACTTGAACTGTTTCAAGAAGCGACATGTCAACTCATAGTTGTCGAATATTAACTTCTAATCCACATGAGATATTCAAATGCAATCATTAATGAATTTCTAGCACTGATTATGTTCTAATCGAATTCAAACACTTTACTCACCACATGAAACATGAATATTTGCTATGTATGGATGACTTTGTTGAACGAGATGTATTAGATGATCGATTACGACATGCATTTACGTGATCATTATATTCCAATGCTGCAATATCCTTTGAACAAATAATGCACGATTTGAAATTCTTGGAAACTGTTGAAGCTATTTCTTGTCCATTTGTATCGGTATCCATTGCTCTAAATAAATAATTCATTAAATAAACAAAATAACAAACACTACTGTTTATTTTTACTTTCCTCTTAACAAATATTTGATTGTATGAAAACTATTTGCCTACAGTAGTACTTGAAGATTGTATAGCAAAATGTTTTTATAAATTCACTGTTCACTAAATGTCATTGTTTTTATGAGAGATATTTTATTTTATTTTCATCATTCACATCTTCAAAGTTTCATTCTTTAAACAATATGGTATAGAAGTTTGAAAATGTAAACGAATTCACAGTGGACCATGTGAACTTCATGAAATTCCTGTGTAGTATTGATTAATTTTCATAAATTTGTGTTTCAATTATCTATCAATAAAATTGGACAATCGATTTAAGCTAGAAAGAGTGAATACTGATAAATGTTTATACTGATTTTTTGAAGCACTCAATTAAAGCTTAATTTATATTCATTTTAGTCAGTGTGAATGGTTACATGAAAGAGTTTATGAAAGCAACAGATATAAGTCACTAACAAACTATTTTCTATAAAATAACATCGAACAGTTTACTTCGATCAATGTATTTGCTTCAAAGGTTTCGCTTGATTCATTTTTGAAGCATGATCTTCATTAAAATGTAAACAGAAGAATTTTCTCACATATTTTCATTGAAAAAAGTTTATTTCATGTTTAAAACATCTTCACATGTTAGCTGTATAAAAAAGGGGAAAAATAACTTACGTCATGAGTAAAACTTACGTGTATGTCTTTTGTATCAACTTTGATGTCAGTAGGTCAATTATTTCTAAAAGAAAAAACGAGTAACAATCAAATACTTTAAAAAGACGTATGCTGAATTGTTATCGTTAGCAAATATATGAATAGCCATGTGATGCATATTTGATGTGGGGAAAAAACAGTTTTAAGGTGAGAATCAAGAAACAAATATATACTTGTTACTCATTTCTCGACTGTCATATTGTTGTGTCGGACAGGAAAAGAAAACTATCGAAACAATGGTAATTCATGGAGGATTGACTCACTATAGTACAATGTTTGAGTCAACGCTGCTTCTTGGTTTTTTTCCCAGTGAAGCAAATTTTCTAGCAGTAACAAACATCTAATGATACCATGAATAAGACTCTTATTTATATTCATCAAGTAAAAAACGTCATTTTGAGCTTTCCTGAACTATAACACAATATATCATTGGTTGAAGCAGAAATTTTAATGAAGATGTGTGTTAATATGCAAATACATAATTGAATAAATACTAAGAAGAGCTACAACCATGTTTTTCATATTCTGAAACATCATCAGAATATCGATCTTTCAGATAACTTATTCATATTTGAATTTTAATGAAAGAAGTACAATAAAGTTATAATTATTGGATCTCGAAGTAAGCAGTTCAGAACCAATGATATCGAGCTACACTATACCAGAAATTTGAAGCTGTTCAGTTGAAAAGATGTATACCATCAATGAAGATGTCGGATATTGTTACACTATTAATTCTTATTAGTATGAAATGCACTTGAAAATTAATGCATTAATGTTTCAAAGATTAGTTTTATTGCATGAGAAGCTTCCTGTTGATTTATTACGGTAAAATCTCTATTAGTGAACATCCATTCTAAGTGATCAATCTGTTATACCGAACTATATTCTGTTCAATAGACTGAAATACAAAACAAAAGCTTAGTATAGATTACTTTAAATGTTCATCTGTTAAAACTCATGAGAATCTGATGCAATAATCTTTTTTTATACTGTAAATGAATCAAGCATATTTCGTGCTCTTATACACCACAACATTTCATCAGATTTGAACAAATAAATATTATTAAATAAAAAAATCTCTATATTCCGACGAATAGTCTCCTATGTGATCAATCTGTTAATTTTTTTTGTTTGAAAAATGAAGAAAAACTGGTTTAGGTTTTGAAACCAATAATTAGTACATTTCATTGTACTACTCCCAATCAATCTTGTAAGGAATGGTATCTGCGATGCAGAAGTTCAATATCTCACTGAACCTTTTCGAAAGAATACCAAAACCTGTTTTCGTTTCCATCGATCCTTGATTTTATATCTTTCTCACCCAGGAATTGACCTTATTCAGTGTTAAGGTGTGGGTTGAGATATATGTGTATGTCACAAATACATAACAAAAACGTTTTCTAAAGATATTAGTATACAATTTTATCGAGTAGTAAGACTTTCGTCTGAAAAAAAAGAATAATTGTGAACTTATGATAAATCGCAATGCAAATATCCATAAGTTTGTATCAGAATTGAGAAAAAGTTACCACCAGTGAACAAACAGCAACATTACGCTACTTTTCTCCACAAGGAATATTGAAAAATGCACTAAAAGCTTTAAATGTAAAAATGATAGAGATACTCAATACAGTCGTCTCATTGCAACATACTACTTATTGGTTTCTTTTAACCCTTCTTCTAACTGAAGGGTGTGGGTGTGTGGGTGTGGGCGAGGTTTGGGTTGGGGATGGGTGTGGGTGTGGATGTGGGTGTGGGTGGGTGTGGGTGTGAGTTAAGTCAACAGTTTTACCCACACCCACATCCACACCCACACCCACACCCAAAAACAAATACATCAGAAAGTTAGAAATAGGGTTAAATTGAGTTAATAAGTGTGAATCAAAGTTTTTGAAGTCATTGTTTATTCTAGAACAAAAGTCCTGTTAAATTTCTTTGCGAAACTCTTGTTCCTTATTCTACTTTACCATTTCTACTCGCATATAGATATGTGAACTAAAAATCTCTTATTTTTCAGTAGATAGAAAATGTCGATTGGAGAAATTCATTGCTTTAAAAATATACTTAAACGGTTTTTTAATGATAGGATCTGAAGACTCATCGGGCACTGCCAGATTACGTGAAGAATTAGCTAAATACCGTGAACAACATACTGAACTTCTCAAATGTTTTGATATTCTCAATGAGAAATCGAAACGTGAAAAGATCGAATCATTTGAAGATCTCGAGAAATCAAAAAAAAAGAAACAAAAACAGTTCTTGTAAACTTGGCTCAATGAACTAAACCAACTCCATTGGAAGATATCAATATTGGTCTTTTTGGTTTGACATCAACTGAAACATCAACTATAATTAATTCTCTTTTTGGTCAAAATGTTGCTAATACTGGTTTTGGTGAAACTACTACAAAAATTACACCATACAATGAAATTATATTTACACTATGAGATGTTCCGCAGCGAAATGATGAAGTATCATTTTTGAGTATGGAATAATATATCTTTCTTTAAAGGTCTTTCACGACGTCTCATTCTTATTCAAATGACTGTAAAAGAAAATTCGAGAATGATGAAATCGGATTACATTATTATATTGTTTTCAACAAATTTGACAAACTTGATCCAGAAGAACAAGAAGAAGTTAAAAATCAAATTAAATCTGAAATAAAAAATATTGTTCTTAAAATAGTCGAACACATATATTTTGTTAGTGCTAAAAATTCAAAGATGTTCGACGCCTGACTCACTATGGTTAATAGTTTAACAAGCTGTACTACATCGTAAGTTTCTATTTTTAGAAAATTTATGTAAAACGACCCTATCAAAATTTCGAGGGGTTGAAATCAGCAACTCGAGAAATAAGCATCAAAGATAAGATTTCATGTCGAATCATACATATTTACAGTTGGGTTAACTAAGGAAATTCATTTTAATATGAGAAGTATATAGGGTTAAAGGATATCAGTATATTTTGAAGCTGGCATGGAATCGATTGGGTAAGGAAATTAATTTTAATCTGAGAAGTACATAAATATAAAGTATACATACTTTGGAGGATGTGGCTGTGGGTAAAACCTACATCTCACAATTAATAACTATTGAATGATGCCCTTTTATATCATATCAGTATAATCTCTCGAAATATGTATGCATAATATTTGACAATTACAAATGTTAACACATAATGCACTTCGTTTTCTTTTTCGAAAAATATCAGCATAATAGACACTTCTGTAGACCACAGTGATGTGACATGAAAAAGACATTATTTAGTTGTTATTATTTGTTAAGATTATCCTGTCGGGAATGATGCGAATTTTTATGAGAAAAATTTGAGTTAATTGGAATCTAATTATGATAGAAAAATAAATAATAAAAGGAAAGAGTAATATGAAAACGAAATATTAATGACTGATCGGTAGTGGCAGTGAATAATTGTAAAAACGAGTGGTAAATGCCTCTTCTTAGAGTATAATTAAATGTTGAATAGTGTAACCTTTGACGACATATGAAACTTTCACATCTGTAGCCAGACTGGATGAATTGTGAACCAAACTGAACTGAAAGTGGATGGCTGCAGGTAATGCACAATTTTACTTTAAACATTATATCGATTATTACGAAGTACTTCACTTTATGTATGAAATATATATTAGCATTAGTACTTTTTTGGATCAAAACTGTTACATGAGTACTGAT